TCTTGGGCCCTCTTGGGGCGATCTTGGAGGCCTCTTGAGCCGTTTAGGGGCGTCGGGGAACCGAAAAGGTTGAAACGCCCAAATCTGTCCAACACCAAAGGAAAAGCACAGGTTTTGCCTCTTGGGGCCCTTTTGGGAGTTCTCTTGGAGGCCTCTTGGGGCATCTTGGAGGCTTTTTGGGCCATCTTGGAGACGTCTTGGGCCGTCCGGAGGCCATCTTGGGCGTCGTGGAGCGATCTTCGGGCGTCTCGGACCTCTCTTGGACCGTGTTCGGGGCGTTCTTGGGGCCCTCTTGGGCCGTCTTGGAGGCCTCTGGGGCCGTCTTGGAGCCGTCTTGGGCCGTCTTGGGGCCCTTTTGAGGGCCTCTTGGGCTTTCTTGGGGCGATCTTGGAGGCCTCTTGAGCCGTTTAGGGGCGTCGGGGAACCGAAAAGGTTGAAACGCCCAAATCTGTCCAAAACCTAAGAAAAAGCATTGGTGTTTGCCTCTTGGGGCCGTCTTGGGAGTGCTCCTGGAGGTCTCTAGGGGCATCTTGGAGGCTTGTTGGGTCATCTTGGAGACGTCTTGGGCCGTCTGGAGGCCATCTTGGGCGCCGTGGAGCGATCTTCGGGCGTCTCGGACCTCTCTTGGATTGTGTTGGGGGCCTCTTGGGGCCCTCTTGGGGCGATCCTGGAGGATCTGGGGGAGTGTCCCGGGCTCCGCCCGGGCTCCGCCCAGGGTACTCTTGATCCAGGGACCCCCAGGGGCCGCCCCGCGCGCGCGAATTAGAAATACTGTTTACCAGTTACCGGAGATCTTAGCACGCCTCTGGCCCGTTGGGCCGGCGAATTTGGTTGGTGTGGCATTTGGCACAGGAGGTGGATTCTAAGGGGTTTCGGTCCATTTCTGTGCTGCTCGTCGTCGCTGGTCGTCTTGTTGTCGTAATAAGAGTTTGAGAGCAAATTGAGTGCTGTGGAGCTCGTCGAGGTGTCGTCGTTGTGTGGTCGAGTGTGGACCCTCCTCCGTGTTCGGATCGTACGCCGCTGGACATCCAAGTATCGCGGTTTACGGGCGCAGACTCTGCTGATGCCGAGTGCTGAGACCGTTGGCATGTACGCCCAGCTCGGCAGCTGCACATCGACATGTGGGGCAGCTGACACAGCGGTTCGGGCAATGATAGCCCGATGGCTGCAATGCAAGTTTTACCCCCGTGGTGTTTGCCCAAGGTGACCCGTCGGACCTGTCTCCCTGAGGGCTTGGCGACTTTTCGCCAATCGACTTGTGTGCACCAAGCCAGATGAATCCAGGCAGCTGGAGTCATATCCCGGTTGAATCCAGAGAAATCTCGAGATCTCCAGGGAAAGCTTGAGCAAGCTGCGGCCGCTCGATCGCGAGGCGAAGGACGGCAGAAGACGCCAGGCCTTTGACGACCCGTCGGGGGCCCCTGGGGGGGGCCCGCGCCTGGCCCTGCCCCCCCCCCCCCCCTCCACGCCCCGACGGCTCTCGGGGCCGTGCCGTGGGGCCTTTGTAGGCAACTGGGATCCGCCACGTGAGCAGGAGGAGGAGTAGGAGGAGGAGGAGGAGGAGGTGGAGGAGGAGGTGGAGGAGCAGGAGGAGGAGGCGGAGGAGGAGGCGGAGGCAGAGGAGGAGGAGGAGGTGGAGGAGGAGGAGCAGGAGTAGGAGGAGGAGGAGAGGAGGAGGCGCAGGCGGAGGCGAAGGGAGAGGCGGAGACTGAGGCGGAGGAGGAGGAGGAGGAGGCGAAGGGAGAGGCGGAGACTGAGGCGGAGGAGGAGGAGGAGGAGTAGGTGAGAAGGAGAAAGGGGAGGAGGAGAGGGGTGGAGGAGGGAGGGAGGTTGTAGGGAGGGTGGGAGGTGTAGGTGGAGGAGGAGGAGGCGGATGCAGCTATAGGAGGAGGAGGTGGGAGGAGAGGTGGGGAGGAGGGGAAGCGGAGGAGAGGAGGAGGCGGAGGCGGAGGCCGGGGAGGAGAGGTGGAGGCGGAGGAGAGCGGGAGGAGGAGGAGGAAAGAGGGAGGAGAGGGGGGGAGGAGGAGGGGAGGGGATGAGACTTCGCATGAAGTGACGAAATCACTCTACCCTGGGGGCCTTCGCCCTCTGTGCGGGGGCCGTGGGGTCTGCCCCCGGAGCTGGGTCGAGGGCGTGCGCCCCACGGGCTTTGGGCCTCCTCCGCCCTCCTCCTGCTCCTCCTCCTCCTCCTCATCCTTCTCCTCCTCCGCCTCCTCCTCCACCGCCCTCCTCCTCCTCCTCGTACTTATCCCTCCTCCTCCTCCTCTCCTCCTCTCCTCGTCCTCCTCGCTCCTCCGTCGCTTCTCTCTCCTCTCTCCTACTACTCTCCTCCTCCTCCTCCTCCTTCCTCCTCCTTCTCCTCTCGCCCTCCCTCCTCCTACCTCCTCTCCCGGTCCTCACTCGTCCTGCTCCTCCTCCTCCTCCTCTTCCCTCCTTCTCCTCTCCCTTCCTCTCCTCCTCCTCCTCCTCCTCTCCCCTCGTCCCCTCCTCCTCCTCCTCCTCCTACCCTCCCCCTCTCTCCTCCTACCTCCTCTGCCATCCTCCTCTCCTCGTCCGTGCTCGTCCTTCCTTCCTCCTCCTCCTCCTCGTGCTGCTCTGTCCTTTCCCCTCCTCCTCCTCCTTCTCCTCCTCCTCCTCCTCCTCCTCCTCCTCCTCCTCCTCCTCTTGCTCCATTCCTCTGCCTTATAAAAAAGCTTCTCCCTATCGCACCCAGAGGCCTGTTTTTAGGGCGAGCTGGTTGTTTCGCTTTCAGACCTCCTCACCATGTATGATTCTGAAGCTCGGCAAGTGGCAACAGTTTCACAGATGGAGGGCAGATGGTTTTCAACATGTGGCTCTCGCCTTAGCGCCGCGCACATTCGTTTTTAAACTTTGTAAGATTTTCACGGATTGAGAGCGGGCCGTTTTTTATGTGGGGTCTCGCTTTAGCGCCGCGCACACTCGTATTAAACATTCGCAAACATTTCACGGATTGAGGGCGGGCCGTTTTCAAAATAAGGCTCTCGCTTTAGCGCCGCGCACATTCGTATTAACATATTGCAAGAGTTGCACGGGTTGAGGCGGCCCGGTTTCAATATGTGGTTCTCGCTTTAGCGCCGCGCACATTAGTATCAAACATTCGCAAGAAATTCACGGATTGAGGGCGGGCCGTTTTCAAATTGAGGTTCTCGTTTTAGCGCCGTGCACATTCGTTTAAACGTTTGCAAGAGTTTCACGGATTGAGGGCGGCTCTTTTTCAAAATGTGGTTCTCGCCTGCGCGCCGCGCACATTCGTTTTAAACATTTGAAATAGTTCACAGGTTCCCGTGATCAGCGTACCAGAAGTGGTGTTTTAGAAGGAGTCAGGATCACGCGGGTGCAACAGTTATGTTGATTCGCGGTGTTGAAGTACCAGAAATGGCGTGTCGGCACGATTCCGGATCGTCAAGACGCAGCAGTCAGGTTGATCCGTGGCGTTGCAATCCAAAGAACAATCTTTTGGCGTGCTTCAGGATCTTCAAACGGGGGTCTTCCAACGACCACTTCCCCCAATGGAAATTAACATGTGTAGGGGTCTATGAAGAGGGAGGTTGGAGGGAGGGTTAAGTCCAATATCGTTGATGACTCTTGGGTTTGCACTGGTCCTCCTTCTCCCTCCTCCCTCCTCCTCCTCCTCCTCCTGGCCTCACGGAGGCCAACCTTCTTTCAGTGCAATCGCTGGGGAGGCGCCTCTGCGCAAAGGGCGCAGAGGGCGTTTTGTCGGACACCTCGACTCGCTCCGAGGAGTCGGAGGGAGGCCCAGGCAGAGGGCTTAACGAACCGCCTTCAGGGCCCTGTCCCATCTCATCTCGTCTCGTCTCATCTCATCTTGGGGGCCTCGGTGGGTCCCTCGAGAGCCTGTTGGGGCTTCTGGGGGCGTCTTAGGGGACTCTTGGCCCGTCTGCCCCTTCCGAGGCCGACTCGGGGCCTCGATGGGCCGTCTTGGTGCCCTCTTTGGGCGCTTCCGGGTTGTGTTGGGGCCCTCTTTGCGTACTCTTGGGCCGATTTGGAGCCCTCCTGGGTGCCTTTTTGGGGTGCTTTGGGGCTACTTTGGAGGCTTCTTGGGGGCCGTCTTGGGCGGTCGGAAATCCAAGCAGGCGAGATCCTCAACATCGATCAACAACCAGAGGAAATACTTGGTTTTGGCCTTCTCGGGCTCTCCAGGAGGCCCTCTTGTAGCCCTCTTGGGCCGCCTTTGGCGGCCTCTTGAGCTTTCTTGACGCCGTCTTGGAAGACTCTTGAGCCGTCTTGGGCCATCTCGGGCCGTCTTGGTGTCAGCTTGGCTGCCTTGGAAGTCGTCTTGGAGGCCACCTTGGCCGTCTGGAGGCCGCACAGATCGCTGGAGGAGAGCAATCTTGAGGGGGGCGGTCTCAGAGGGACGCGTGTAATAAGGGGGAGCCCATTCCGTGTAGGCACATTGGCGGATACATAAGGGGCAGTGTTGAACCCCTCCCCGATGGAAGAGGAGTAATGGGGTTGTATGACGAAACGCTTTAAACCACTCACGCCCAGAGTGCTGATGAGATTCCCCAATCAGTGCTTCCATTGAAGGGGGTCCTGGCAGATAGTGGAAGACTAAGTGAAGGTGCGTGATTCGGTGGGTCCAGCCGTGGCGACGAGGGCCCCTCCAACCCCCCACCCCAACCTTTCTACGGGTTGACGACGACGACGACGACGACGACGACGACGACGACGACGACGACGACGACGACGACGACGACGACGACGACGACGACGACGACCCGGACGCGACGACGACGTGCTGGCGGCGGCGGCAGGCCGGCGGCGGCTGGCGGCCCAGGCGGCCGGCGGCGCGGCGGCGGCTCGTGCGGCGGCGGCGGCGGCGGCGGCGACGGCGACGGCGACGGCGACGGCGACGGCGACGGCGACGGCGACGGCGACGACCGCGGCGGCGGCGGCGGCAGCGACCGAGGCGGCGGCGGCGGCAACCGCGAGCCCACCCCGCGCGCGGGCCCCCGGAGGCGCGTCGCCGCGCGGCGGGGCGACCCACAGTCTTACGCCCCCGTCGATACCCCCCGCCCTGGCGGTGCTCTACCTCGCCGAGCTGGGCCTGGCCAAGAAGGCGGCGCGCTGCGTGGACAAGCTGGAGGAGGACGATGGGGGAGGAGGAAGGAGTAAAGGAAGAAGAGGAGGAGGAGCAGGAGCAGGAGCTGGAGCAGGAGAAGGCGCAGGAGGGGGCGCAGGAGGAGGAGGAGGCCGGGAAAGAAGAGGACGGGAAGGAGGAGTAGGACGATGCGCAGGAGGAGGAGGAGCAGGAGGAGGAGGAGGACGGGAAGGAGGAGGAGCAGGAGGAGTAGGAAGAGGAGGGGGAGGAGGAGGAGGAGGATTGGTGGAGGAGGAGCAGGAGCAGGAAGCAGAGCAGGAGGAGCAGGAGGAGCATCAGGAGCAGGAGCAGGAGGAGGAGGAGCAGTAACGGAGGAAGGCATCAGAGTGCGGAGGGCGCAGGTGTGGAGGCGGAGCGCGGAAGGAGATAGGAGGAGTGTGAGGAGGAGGTAGGTGGATGGAGGAGGAGGAGGAGGAGGAGGAGGAGGTAGGAGGAGGAGGAGGAGAGAGGAGGAGGAGGAAGGAGGTGGAGGAGGAGGAGGAGGCGCAGGAGGCAGCAGCAGCGCAGAGCGCAGCTGCGCAGCAGCAGCAGCAGCAGCAGCAGCAGCAGGAGCAGGAGCAGGAAGAGGAGGAGCAGGAGAAGGAGGTGGAGGGTAGCATTGTGATAGGTAGCAGCGTGTTTAGCACAACAGACAGGCGAGTAGAGGGTGCCATCCATGGGCGCTTGGCTCAAGGGTTGCCACCCTCCGCGCCCGCTCTATAGTCTTCCCAGGCACCGTTCTACAACGTTCTCTGGATAGACCATCGTTTTTTTCTGACCGTTTTACATTCTAGTCTCCTTTTTCCTCTACTATCTCATCCGCTCCTCATTCTCCTCTCCTACTAATACCTCCGCTCTCCTCCCTCCTTCCTCCCCCTCCTTATCCTCTCATCCTCCTCCTCCCCCTCCCCCTCCCTCCCCCTCCTCCTCCTCCTCCTCCTCCTCATCCTCCTACCTCTCCTCCTCTCCTCCTCTCCTCCTCCTACCTCCTCTCCTCTCCTCCTCTCTACTCCTTCTCCTCCTCCTCCTCCTCCCTCCTGCTTCTCCTCCTCCTCCTCCTGCTCCTCTACTCCCCCTCTCCTGCCTCCTCCTCCTCCTCCGCCGTCCTCCTCCTCCTCTCCTCACTCCTCCTCCTCCACTCCTCCTCCTCCTCCTCCTCCTCCTCCCTCCTGCGCTCCTCCGGCGCTTCCTCTGCGCATCCTCCTCCCTGTCCTCCTCCTCTCCGCGCCTCCTCTCTGCTCCTCCCCTCACTCCTCCTCCCCTCCTTCACATCATAATAATCATCATCATCATCATCACATCATCATCATCATCATCATCAATCATCATCATCATTCATCTATCCTCATCCTCATCTCATCATCATCCTAATCCTCATCCTCATCCTCCTCCTTCGTATCATCCTCCTTCTTTACTCCTCCTACTCCTCCCCTCTCTCCTCCTCCTCCTCCTCCTCCTCCTCCTCTCTCCTCCTCCTCCTCTCCTCCTCTCCTCATCCTCTCCTCTCATTCCTCCCCTCCCCCTACTCCTCCTCCCCCTCCTCCTCCTCCTCGCCTCAAGATCCTCTTCCTCCTCCTCCTCGCAGCATGGGGCGCGCCCGCCGCCCGGGCCGCCCGGGCGCCCTGCCCGCGCTGCTCGCGTTCGGCTCCTCCTGCCTCCTGCCGGGCTCGCGCGGGGCCGCGCCGCCGGCCGCGGCGCCTCCGGGCTGGCCGGCGGCCGACGTGCCGGCCGCCGACCCCGCCGCGACGGTGCGGCAGGGCCGGGCGCGCTTCCCGAGGAGGAAACGACGTCGGGGGGCCCCATCCTCCTCGTCCTCCTCCTTACCCTCCTTCTCCTCCTCCTCCTCCTCCTCCTCCTCCTCCTCTTTCTCCTCCTCCTCTTTCTCCTCCTCCTCCTCCAGATGCAGCTCCTGGGAGGTCAGATTCTGATTTTGCCCTGGTCCGAAATCCCGCTTCATCCTGCCTGATCCCGCCGAATCCGGCCGAATCCGAGGCCCACTCCGGCGTAACAGCCCCCTCCATGGGGCTTAATCCTCTTCAATCCCTCCGAGGAAAAGAGGGATTGAAGAGGATTAAGCCATCCTGGCTAGGCCGATCCTAGGCCTCCTAGATGGGGTCGGAGTAGATGGGGTCGGAGGATTATGTCGCATCGCCGATGCATCGCCGATGCGGCTCGATGTGGAGCCTGATTTGCTTCACGTCGATGTCGCCGATGCATCGCCAATATCGACGATGCGTCGCCGGTGCATCGCCGATGCATCGCCGATGCATCACCGATCGATCGGTGATGCATCGGCGATCTGGTGCGATCCTCCGGCCCCATCTGCTCGGACCCCATCTGGGATGCCTCTAATCCTGGCCAGGCCGATTGGGCCCAGGATCGGGCGAACATCTTCGGGCGCCTTTTGTTTCAGGGAGCGCACTCGCAGTGCGCGTCCTCCATGGGGCCCTCAGCCCCTCCGCCGCAAGGAGCGGTGCGGGGGTTGAGAAGGGAGGGTTCCGCGGGTGGTCGCGAGGCACTCGCCCAGTCTGTGAGCGCGGGAAAAACCTGGGCCCAGGATTGTGTTGCTCCCATCGTACTTGAGGGCCACATCCCAGAAATCATGTCGAGCATCCGGAAAAAAGCGTCGAATAAGTGTCGGAAGAATGTCGAAAGAGTGTCGAAAGAGTCTCCCGGGGCCCGACACGTGAAAAACCTTTTTGGAGTTTTTGGGTACCTTTTTGGCGCTCGAAATGCTTTCTGGTGATCAAGGCTAAAGTAGGCTGGAACATCGTAAGCCCAGGATCGGTGTATCTACATTCTGCCCAAAGTCGGAGGGCGTATACACCGATCCTGGGCCCAAGGTGGTTCCTGGCCAGGATCGGTGTTGTTGTATATTTGGTGCCTTCCTAACGGCGCTATTCGTCGGGACGATCGGAATTGGTACGGGAAGTAATGGGTGCAAAGGCCGACAGCAGTTCCTGCCCATTCTGAACAGAACTGGCTGGCCGCGCCGCCGCGGACGTTGTCAATTTGAGTCAGAAGGCCGATTGCCCAACAGCGGCCGCTGTCGGTTTGGACGCTAATTGTTGTTGGGCATCGTGCCCATTTTCCCCGTACTCATTTCGGGCGTCCAAATCAAAGGACGGGGATCAGTGTAGACGAGGGTCAGCCAGGGCGCCGGATTTTGCAGGATCCTCTACGGCCAGGGGTGCATTGACCTGCAAGGATCCTGCATGGCTTGACTGGCCCGGGCTTGTAACCTGGGTCAGTGCGTCCCCCAGGAAGCGACTGCATCCAAAAAACACAATTGGTTGGGCATAGACATTCGGAGCTCCACTCGGATTTCTCGGATCGGCGCTGGAGCCTCCTGGCGGCGCCTCGGGCGCCGCTCCTGGCGCGCTCCGCGCACCAGGGAGGGGGTCTAGCGCCGAGCCAAGAAGTCATCACGGACCTCCGAAAGTGGATGTCTGTGCCATTCATTGCGTCTCGATCCGCGCGGACTTTTTGTTGTATGGCGCAATCGATGGCGCGCGGAAGCTTCGACCCTTTGGTGGAGCTCCCTGTGGCGAGCACCTGGCCCTGATCCTGGAGAGGCGCGGGAGGCACCATGGCCTCTCACCCCCCGCGGGCAGCACAAACAAGCGAGCGTTGTTGGGGCGCCGGGCGTCAGCAACCCCGCGCAGGCCCCCGCGCGGAGTTCTTCCAGGCATAACCAGGACCCCGGGTGAGGGGTCCCGGTTAGTAGTAGGGCCCCAGAGCCCCCAAATTGGCCAGAGTCGCTGAACCAGGTCTGCCGTGGCTGGTGCCTCTTCGGGCGACGGCAGCTCCAGTCAGTGGAACGGGGCGGGGGGCGTCCCCCAGTACACATCCATGAAGAGGCTTCAGTAAACCCAGTTCTGCCAACGCCCGAGGTTAGTCAGAAGTCCTGACAATGATATGTTCCAGGATTCTCAAGGTTTCCAGGGTTTCCCCATGTTCCTGTTGTACTCACCACTAAACCAGGTCCCACTAAACCCCGTTCTGCCAACGCCCGATTCTTGGAGCGGCGGCGCTGGATCCCCCTGGCGGCGCCTTCGGCGCCGCTCCTGGCGCGTGCCTCAGGAGGGGCCAGCGCCGATCCAAGAACTCCGCGCAGGGAGCACCTTCCCTTCATCCATGCCCTCCCTCCTTCCCTCCTCCCTTCTCCGAACTCCCCGTCCCCCTCCTCCTCTTTCTTCTCTTTCTACTCCTCCCCCTCCCCCTCCTCCTCCTCCTCCTCCTCCTCCTCCTCCTCCTCTTTCTCCTCCTCCTCCTCCTCCTCCTCCTCCTCCTGTCGATGTGCGTCGCAGTCATTTCCTCTTCGAGCCTCACTGTTCTCTCCCCGTGCCTCCTGCGCCTGGAGCTCTCGCAGAAGAGCGTGGCCGGCAGCCCGCTCTTCGACGACCGGGCTACGCAGTCCGTGGTGAACCGGCGGCTGCCTGTGCCGGCGTTTGGCGTCGCCCGCCGGGGGGCGGACACCGTGGTGGTCACAACCGACAGGCCTCAGGGGCAGCGTGACGGGTGGGTCGGCTGAGAGTTCTCGGTTGTCCTGCCTCGGATTCCCTCGCGGTTCTCTGCGCTTCTCGGCGGTCTCACAGCCTCGGGATGTTCTCCAGCAGGTGCGCAGCGTCAGGGGCGTTCTCGGGCTGCCAGAGTCGTCCCGAGCAGCCGCCGTCGGGGGCAACGTCAGGTGGGGCAG